CAGCCCGGTAACTCGGCAATCCGGCAGCCGAGCCGACTGTCCGCCAGGCCGTCTATCAAAGTGCCCTGGGGACGGCGGCACCCGGCGGATAATCGGCTCGAATGCCAGATTGCCGAGTTGCCTGGATGCCGGATACCGAGTGAAAAAATACGGCCTTTTCTTACTTATTTTTTCAAGCTTTTTTCGCATATTTTTTGTGACAAAAAAGTCCCAAATTTCTCTCGTGTAGATGGGCGTTCTCAGCGACAAATTTCCCGGGAGCCTCGCGAGGCAAGCGCCTCAAGATTGCATCAGATCAGCACCGCGAGGATATCTAGACGCTTCAGCAAGTCTCATGATGAGATCGTGGGATCCTGATAGGTTCGTGAGGTGAGATCACTGGCAAGCGTCGAGATGCGCTCGAGATAAGCGAGTAAGAGTAAGTGACCCTGAGACAGAGGAAATCATGAGATAATGACCCGTCATCGTGAACGCCTCGTGATGAGCATCATGACGCAAAATCTTTCTCTCGTGAGGCCCTGGCATCAGATTATCTTGAGGCCTCACGGCGTCTCATGGTTCTTCGAACTTTTTTTTCCGACAGATGCGCCGTTGCACGCCGAGCAAGGCTGCGCCAAACATGAGGTAAACGGCTCGTGGTTGAGATTATCAGACCGAGTACTGGCAAGATGATCCTGGGTAAGGCTGGGTAATAGGTGTAAAAGGAGTACACAGGGCTCGAACTCACTACACTCCACTGATCAGATATAGCGCATATTACCACGTATTAACTGAAACAAGTCGGGTAAACGAAGTATACTGAAGCTTGAGTCAACAACGCCCTGTGCCATGAAATCTCTGGTGTCCTCGCCATACAATCACTAGATATCTGATTAGACGTGGAGTCCTTCTTCAGAGAGCCGCGCAGGTCACGGTTGCTCGATGCTGACATCCATGTCATCATCCCACTGGTGATCCTGACTGTAGTCCAGGGACTCGCCCATGTTCGCCATAAAACTCGACACCGTCCCACGATCGAATGTTGGCATGTGTAATGAAGGGAACTGCCGGGACGCCTCGGCTTCGGAAGTAGTAGTGGATCCACCCCGGTTGAGTAGCCGCAAACTCATCATAAAGCGGCAAACCAAAATTGGCGGCTTGGTGGCGTAGAGATGTCAGATGGTCAACAAGATCTGGTGGCAGACTCACCATTGTACTTGTAAATGCGGCGACAATGATTACTGAAGTCTGCAGGTGGTCAATATGTTATGCGGTACCGACAAAATTTGGGCTGCATACTACGTAAGAATTTATGATTTGGGAGACGCTCAGGACGAGAAGAATCCTAACGGATATTATAGTTGAGGAGACGATGAAGGTGATCGGTGTTCGATACTTACAAGAAGTATATTGTGCCTAAGAGAACCAATCAGGTATCAAGTACCTCGCCGCTGACGCAAATAGAAGGACTTACCGTCGTAGATAAGACGTGAGGCAAGCGGTGACTTGATATTCAACGAAACTGCTTCTCGGTATTGACGGTAGGTCTTTATCCATGTTAGGGCTAGGACGAGCATATCTGCAACAATTGATGGAATGCGACTGCTAAAAAGCACTGTAAAGTGACAACCAGGGTAGCTGAATTCATGGAGGTAGACAGTGAATACATACGGCTAATAAAGTCAAAATGAGCGCGTATATTATAGCGGTAGTAACGCGACAGACTTACATGTCGTACACTTCATTAGAGAACTCAGGAGTTCCGATACATGCACCAACCGGTGGAGGTGAGTATTTCATGGAGGCATGAGCTGTGTAGTACTTGGAGAGACATCGGAGCTAAGTGCGACGGTCCAAGGGTTCGAACAAGCATCGTACTTACAGCGTTAGTAATGGCAGGCCCGAGACTTAGAATGAGCACAATTATGGCCAGAGCGTAGTTCTGATTCGACAAAGCACAAACACGCAGTGCGGAAAAGGCTGATAGCGGTTAGGTCGCACATCATTGGGTACCTGCGATTCATCGTACTCACCGGCGGTCTGCGCGTACGTCACCAGCACGGGAATTATGGCTATCCAGCTGCTGGCTACGCAGCTGCATTCGATTTCATCTTCAGTGCTTTCCAGGTCTGGTCGTGCGAGATCATATACCTCTGTAAAAGGTCAGACTTGGCTATATGGAGGAACGACAACTTACTATTTGTCCGTTTGGGAGTAAGCTAGATGCTGCTTGCAAAATCAGTGTCCATCGGGTGGACACAATGAGGAGGGAGACGATAGAGAACTTCTGCTGCCAAACGGTGCGGACTTCTTGGTCGAGCGTGATTAAGTAATCATAGAATACCAAGGCTGTAACCTCCAGTGTGAAAATTCAGAGTACTTCGACGGCACCGTACTTTACCTGAGGTCGTGAACGTTGCAATGTTGGAAGCAATACTGAGAACACGACGTCAGTAAGTGCGTACTGTTCAAAGCGGAGTACGTACGTCTGTGAGACGTCGGATGCGAAGTCAGAGGACATTGTGGCGGGGACTTTGAATGCGAGGACAGTAGTCTGAGAAGAGGCTGAATGCTGTATATTTAATACTCACTAGAAGGCATATATGTACCATTCGCGCCTGTACCGTGCTTATCACCGGTAGTCGAAGTTTCTGTCAGGCACAGAGCTAAAACACCGATCACGATAATTGCAGTGCGTTGGCAGGGACAACGCCGCGCCCAGCCCTTGCAAAGAATGCACGTCTAGAGCTCCTACCTATGGATTGCAGACTCCGGCTGCTAGAACAAGGAATGTCAATTTGTAGCGCCCATGAGGCAATGATGCTGCCAACAGGCCATGGTGCTGCCAACAGGCCGGAATCAGTGGCGTGTAAATGTCAAATACAGGGACAGCAAGGTTTTAAGGGTTCATCATTACGTTACAACAACGAGCAAATGACTCGGAAAGGATCACGAGGACAGCGATATGTCAACTGAGACGTCATAGGATGTCCCAAATAGTCACGAGACGCACCGTTAAGCACAAAATGTATCGTGACAGCGACGTTGATGTCATTAGAAGTGAGCTGACTTTAGTAGAGCCGCGAACTACAGCTGAGGAGGACATCCCAGTTAGCGTGTTTGCAGTTTTCATTTGGGCTTGGCGAGCAAAGAACATGTTTGTTGACTGACAGATCGGATTCCATCTCCTGGCAGACCGCAGGCCCGGCGCCCGGCGCCCAGACCCTGTGGCGTTGGATGAGTAATTATTCACCAACTGCGCTCGAGGCACAACCTACCGCTGGTCGACGCTCGGCGTCCCCCTTCCCACAACTACTGACAGCCTCGAACTCTGCAGCGCATCGAGCCTTCAGTCACCTTGACACACTAGTACACGCACGGCCTTGGACGCCGTGGCCAAGCTCTTCTTAAGCACAAACACGACACAGCGTTACAGCCGCATCACGCCGTAGTCTCGAGCGATATTAAGTAGTGTGCGAGCCGCAGCGTCGCCATCGTGCCCTGTACGCACTCTGTTGCACCGCATAAGGCCCCCGCATTCGTACACGTTTCTCGTGCAGCGCTTGGAGATGCCCCAAAGTACCGAGATACTAAGTCCCTGGAGTAGTTAGCGGATCTCATTCCTGCTCGTCGAGACATCGTTGGTAGGACAAAAGAGAAACGGCTGCGCTTTCCATTGGAAAATTTTCGAGGAAAAACCTTCAATTCAGCAACAGCTAGAGAGACAAGGACTGTCGAAGGTAGTGGTTGAGGGTCTGGTCCTAAGGACCGGTTGGGACTGGGACTCAGACTGAGACCAGACTGATTAGGACTGGATACAGCCCAGTCCTACATCAGTCCGGTCTTGGTCACAGTTCTTGGTCCCAGATGGCCTCGGATACCTTAGGACTGGTCATGACCAGTCAGGACCAGTCACGGACTGATCAAAAGTGGTGGTTTATCTGGCTCAGCTTGGCCCAGAATATGACGGCTTTGGCTCAGCTTCTCCAAGCTTGGGCTTGCAAAAGCCCAACTCAAGCTGCATGCCACCGCAAGCCATAAGCTAGTGGCTCAGCTTGGGCTTGGCCGCAGCTTGCATCCCAATTAGGCAGGTGCTGTGGATTGACCTTGTCAACAGTTCCACGGCTGCCACGCATAGACACA